TCCTTTGAAAAGGCCAAGGGCCATGCCAACATGTCACAATCACCCTCATGCTGCTGCTCAAAGGAGAATACTTCCCTCCAAAAACCTCTGCCTGCAGCTCCTCCCTCATCATTTGCTAACAACTTGAACTCTTGAACTTGCTTAACATAAAACAATTTGGTGGTAAGAACATACCCATCTACAACGCTCAAGAGAACATCTAACGTATCATCAGACGAACAGAAACTCGGCAAGGTAAAGAAGGTTTCATTTGCAAGATCAAAACCACAAACTTCGTTCGAATGAGCTTCCTGATATAACCAATACACAGCACCATTTGCAAATTCCCCACGACGACAGGTAATATTGCCACTACCAAAAGGAAGATCTTGACTTAACCACCAAAAATTTGATTTCAAACTGAAAACCCAAATTTGATAAATCTTAGTGTCAACATTTTTAACCTTAGAAAGCATCACCACCTTATAATCATCGGCAGCAGAATCATAGCCCAGACCGCAACCGCGGAATTCATGATCGGGAAGGTCTTTGGCAGGACAAGCAGGTAATTTCTTGCATTTCCGAGTGGTTGGATTCCAAAGGACAAGCTCAGGGATTGCAAAATGTCCTAGTTTGCTGTATAGATTGAGACTCAGGAGAATCAAACCACTGCAAGTTCCAGAAATGGACGTGTCACGGTCGCATTGAGGTGAATCTCCAAGTGGGTGGTCGAGTCTGATGGCGTTTCTCAGTCCGTCGTCGAAATCCGCGGCGTAGAAGTCGAGAGGGCCAACTGAGACTAGGTCTTCGCCGACGGGACTGCATGGGTTCATGCTGAGGATCAACTTGCGACCCGATTTTGTTTCCATTGATCTCTTGAGATGCTCCTTGACAAAATCGGAACTGTCGATCTCAGAGCATAACCATTTAGAAAGGCATCGGAATCTCAACAGAGACTTTACCGGCTGACGGACGAGAATGTCGCGGAGTAGATCCGGGGAGAGTCGTGCCATTTTGCACAGGAAGAGCTGGAACGTCAGGCGAGTTGAAATGAAAAAGTTGATCTCAAATTAGGTCTTCCTTTCTAAATATACGTTTCCATTTTTTTTTTTTTTTTTAAATTCATTTTCCTTTGGCTATGCCAAATTACACTTTAAGCCCTCTAAGTTGCAAAAATCAACTTCAAGGATATAGAAATAATTTTTTATATAATTTATATATATTATTAAATAAATATATATTTAATATTATAAATTTTAAATAAATAAATAAAGCCATTACTCAAGATTATACAAAGAATTAATATAAAAATATTATCTTTGAATTTTTTTTATAAACTTGGAAGAAAATATCATTATTATTATAAGACCAAATTACATCACATTACAAAATAATCCATTATGATTTGGTTTAGAAATGCATATGGATGCTTCAACTTTTGTTTTTTGTTTTTTTTTTTTTTTGTTATTTATTTATTTTTTTTTGTCTTTTAATTCTCTTAAAAGTATATAAAATATTAATTAAAATAAATATTAAATATATTTTACTTATTTTGTGATATTAATATATTAAAAAAATTCATAAACTACAGCCTAGCACTCTCAAACAAACATATCTCTCTCAAACATTTTGGCCCCTCCAGAAGACAAGAAAAAGGGATTGGAATCATAAACAACGTACAGACCATCAGATGTTCTACCAATTAAACAAATATGATCGCACAAATATTATTGATGCCAGAAAGAGCAAGAGAGCGTATACTTAAATCTGTTAATCTCAATCTAATGCTTTGGACACCCCACTTAATGTGAACAGCTTTCTTCAAACTAAACGTTTGGTTCCTCAAAAGTTAGTTTTGCAGTTTTAAATATAAAAATACCAAAATGTTTCCAATAGAAAAGGCAAGAACCTAAGCAGATTCAGGCAACTCAATCATGGCCTGCTGGGATTGAGAGCCAGGAGCATGTTCTGTCCACCTGGCAGGTATGCAACGTTTGGTGACCTTGCAAGAGTTGAAGCTATCTCCCTTGATGCCTCAATCCTCCTTAGCTCAATCAGTCCATTGCCTGCCTTTGAAGTGGCATCAGAAATGAGCTGAGCGGACTCACTTTCACCTTCTGCACGAATAATAGCAGCCCTCCTCTCCTGGTCAGCCTTCATGACTACAAACTTTGATCGCTCTGCCTCCTGCTGTGCCACCTGCTTCTGCTCCACTGCTCTTGAGAACTCTGCTCCATATGAAAGGTGTGTAATTGCTACATCGTCCAATGTAATGTTGAAGTCCCTTGCACGTCTAATAAGTGATTCTCGGACCAGGGCAGATACTTGAGGACGATCAGTGAGAAGCTGGTCAGCATTGAATTGTGCAACAACAGCTTTCAAGACCTCATTGCCAATGGAGGGAAGCACCTTCTCATCATACTCAAGACCAAGATGTTGGAAAATATAGGGAAGACGTGATTCCTTTAACAGAAAATAAATCATTCAGTTAAAAAACTGAAACAATCATAATTAAATGGAAAATGATGTGTGTACA